GAAAGACAGGCTTGCTAAAGGAATAAAGCAGCAATATCAGGAAACGTTAATTAAGGACTCGTTGAAGAATGGAAGGTTTGTCGAATTTGTAGACTCTTTCACTAATGTAGCATTTTCATCTTCTATTTCAGTCGTGAACTTTAAAGCATGACTTAATCATTTAGTATCACATTGAACAAGCAATTGTCATAGTTTTATCAGTTATTCTTTGCTAATACTTGAAGAGTACCCCTTTTTAAGCTTCAAGGGCATTAAAAGTTCTGTCTAAGTTTGTAGTTCTTGTGTTTCTCCATTACGCAGTCTGTTTATTAATTACAAGACTATTTTCCATTTTTCTTTAATTGTTTCTATCAAAATGAATTCGATGGGTTTCTGACTGAACTATCTATAAATTATGAATTGACAGTCTTTAATCTCTATAGTTGTGCTACTGGGGTATTTGTTTTCCGCAAATTGAGATGTAGGTTTGATGCCAAACTTGTGAGTTCTAATGCAATTTGACTTAGTCTTCTGCTAGAAGAGTTGACATAAAATCTTATTCTGTTAATTGTTTTGTTCTGCTGTTCCAGTGGTGACTTCAGTGCTGTCGATATGGCTTATGCACTGACGAACACTGTGGGTAATTTTGAGGCGACTCCTGAGATTCTCCGGTCAGTCTTGCCATTAGTAAACTGGGACTATATTGCTGCTATGTACCTTCCTGGTCGATCCGGTGCTGAATGCGAATCGAGGTACTTCCCTCTAGAAGATATTTTTCTCTTCTAGCGCACGGAGCAATTTTCATTTCTCTCATTGTGCAGAAGCTTCATCAGATCTTACTCTGCCATCTTTCCTGATATTGTTATTTGACGTTTCTGCAGTATGTGTCTGTATCTGTGTTTTCAATTGGTCAGTCCTAATTCAAGAAATTGTAATTTTATTCTCTACTAGGTGGCTAAACCATGACGACCCACGGATTAATCACAACGCCTGGACTGCGTGTGAGGAGAAAAGACTTATACTAACTGTCCAAGAAAAAGGAATGCATAACTGGATTAATATTGCGGTTGCATTGGGTACGCAGAGAACACCTTTCCAGTGCCTTGCCCGTTATCAACGAAGTCTCAATCCCCACATATTGAAGAGGGCCTGGACAAAAGAGGAAGATCTTCAACTTGTAGCTGCCGTCCAAACTTTTGGTTGTAACTGGCAACTTGTATCAGCTAGTCTGGTTGGTCGCATTGGCAACCAGTGCTCTAACAGGTATTGTTCTTTGACTTGTCTTTCAGACCTACTATCGAACCTATGCAATTGTGCCTTCTATCAGGACACATACTTTATCACTCTTTATCGTGGTTATCTTTTCAAATGGTATTTAATATTTTTCCTCACTAATTTTACATGTATAAATTATCAAACCTATGTGATTGTACTTTATATTATGGCACATCTGTTATCACTCTTTATTGTGGTTATCTTTTCTAATGGTATTTAATCTTTGTCCTCACTAGTTTTATGTGGATAATCTCTTACTTTCCTTGGTTGGTGTATATTTGACATACCTTACATCGAACTTACTATAGGTGGAGGAAAACACTAATCCCTGAAAGGAAAAGGGTGGGGAGATGGTCTGAGGATGAGGACAAGCGCCTCCTGGTATCTGTCAAGTTTTTTAGGTCTGGCAGCTGGAATAAGATTGCTCAGTTTGTTCCTGGCCGCACACAAAGTCAATGCAGCGAGAGGTAATGTAGTAGTTTTACCATGTCAGTTCAAAGTTTACGGTTTGATCGTGATGCTATTTTTTATCCTCATTAAACAGGTGGCGTAATGTTCTTGATCCGGATATAGATCATGGGGAATGGCGCCCTGAAGAGGATTCCAAGTTATTGGCTTCCGTCCATGAGGTTGGTCCGTGCTGGTCCAAGATTGCTGGGGCTATGATTCCTCACCGTACTGATAATATGTGCCTGAGGTAAACCATAAACCTATTCTCTTTCAGATTTTACATGATGTAATTCTGATGTGTTGCTTGAAATTTCAAATTAATAATGCATTTCATGATGGAGCTGCCCCACCAACCGAAGCAAGTACAAATTTTGCTGCTAATGGTTATTCCATTTGTAACTGCAGGCGATGGAAAAGACTCTGTCAAGATGAATTACCTTTAATTGTAGCAGCCAATCAAGTAAAGAAATCTATTTTTCAGAACAACTTTGTTGATAGAGAAACAGAGCGACCTGCAATTTGCCCGAGTGACTTCCCATCACTTGTGTATTCGAAAGTTGACAGGGGTGATGAGAGCACTGTGAGGTACAGTAATTTCAATTGCAATGCTTTTCAAACAATAAAAAAGAAGGTAGTTTTAGCTATGTTCTCTTCCTCATCAGTACCTATTTTTCAGTGATCAAGTCAAGAAACCTCAAAAACGGTCGAGAAAATCACGTGTGGATAACGTGCCACCTAATGACCCCTCGAAGTCTTCTGCTGCTGCTGCTGCTGTAAACATCACCAAGAGAAAATCAAGGAAAAAATTATCTGGGTATTGCTTATAACATTACATATGCTTTACTGTTGAATTTCACTCCCTTATGCCTGCTCAGTGCTCACATGTTTGTTTCGTACTTACTTTTACAGAAGTGGAGCTGAAAACCAAACTGGGGAGGATGTAACTGTGTCTGATGGTGTCAACAATTCCTCTAGGGGCCACAGCAAAGCTAGGAAGAGGAAAGTTACCACTGATGGCGATGTGGTTGTGCAAAAGAGAATGAGGGGATCAATCTCTGTTGATAACGAGCTCACCCTAGATATGTTTGGGGGCCCTATCAGTTTCAATAATGAGGCACTTACTAATCAAAAGAGGGACCCTACATCTGTTGGTAAAGAAGGCACAGCTAAGAAGAGAACAAGGGGCACTGTGTCTGTCGGCAACGAGGGAGCTGTCAAAAAGAAAATGAGGGGTTCTATCTCTGTTGGTGAGGGGAGAGCAGTCAAAAACAGGATGAGGGGTTCAGTCTCTATTGACAACCAAGGCAACACAACGAAAAGGAAGAGAGTATCAAGGTATAACATGGATCATGGCTAAAAAAATTACTCAATAGTATCTGACATCATCTATATCCGCTTCCTCGTAGATTTTCAGTGTCACCATGAGTCCTTTGTTTTGTATAGGAAATCAGCCAAAGGCAATTCAACAACAGATGGTGGGGTGAACGCTTGTGAGTTGGACCTTCCAAGTATGCCCTCTGAAACTTCTGCAGAAAGACACATTGATACTGGAAACACGAACAAGATGAATCGGAAGTCTACTCCAAGGTAGCTCATTCTCCAATTCATTTTTTTTGTGTGTGGGCGTATTTGTGCCAAATGTCAATGAGGTGATGTGTGTTGTCTAAGTTTATTGATTCCTGGTTTACAGACCCAAGCAAATAAACATGGCAGAAGGGACCGTCGATGAATATTCACGTCTTGCTGATTGCATCTCCTTTGCCCGTGGAAATGGAGCCAGCAAGAACAATAGGTACTTCAATTCGAGTTACAGCATAATATCGGTCATGTTTTACGAAAACATCCTGTAGTTTAGTTCTGGATGAAGCCCCATAACTCATTTTATTAAATCAACGTTACACTTGTACTTAATTGGTAGTTCACTTCATCCACATAGCTAACCAACAGGAACAAATGGTACTTAAAAATTGGAGGTATAGCAGTTCATATTTCCTGGGGGAAAAAGTCCTCTTATTTAGTTCGGGTTGAAGACCTATGAGCTATGACTCATTTTATTAAATTAGTGTTACACTTTACTTAATTGATACTTCGTCCGTAAAGAAATATAAGAGCGTTTAGATCGTAGTGATCTAAACGCTCTTATATTTCTTTACAGAGGGAATGGTTCACATCATGAGCTCCCCTTTTTAGTGATAAAACAAATTAACTAGATGGATTGTTAGAGTCGGCCCAACCTGGCAAGCTTGCATCTGTAAATTTAGTTTTCCAACTTTTTTTTCAATTGCAGTGCCATGCCGTTAAATAATGCCATACAGTCAGACGGGCCCTCAGGTGAAAACCTACAGGTGGCCATTTCTGCTCGACTGGATCCCACTTCTGTTGAGCAGCTCACCGAAGACTCAAGTTGTCAATTAGGTACAAATTCTATATTCTTTTGTATCTTAATGCTACATTGTACAGTACTGACATAATTCGTTTATGGTGAATGCTTTTGTGATTGCAGATGACAACCATTGAGCAGTTTGGATTCTTCTCTTGTATAAAGAGGGTTTCCCTATGCGGCACAGTTTGTGACTGCAAATTGCAATCATTGACCGATCTAACTTTCCGAAGCTAGAGAAGCAAGAAGATACGGGGGCAAAGGTAGTTAACATATCAAGCATGATTTTACAGGCTTAATTGAGGATAAACTGCTCATCAGTCATTTTGCTTGTGTCTAGGGAGGGGTTGGGCACCCAATCAGCTGAAGGCGCATCAACCTGGCTTGCCCCTGATGCAGTAGTTTGTGTTCATTTTCTGATTGAGTTGGCCAGAGCATCTCAACGCTCCATGTAGTAGGTGGTCTCTGTTGAGTAATTCAAGTGTGTAGTTCATTGTTGTTTACTTTTAAGATGCGACATCTCGTTGGTTGAATTTAAACAAAGGCTGCAAATTTGTACAAAACTGTTCAGATCATTATAATGATGAGCTGCCATTTGGATGCATTATTGCGCTTCTCACTTGTGCATGAACGGGTGAACTTATAATATTTACAAGTAACTGGTGAACTTTCACACTGGTATTTTGTCTACCATTGGTGCAGATGGACCTCGTCTGCATTTGCTGTAGAGTTCAGCAAAAATCTGGCCTGAGTTCATGAACTTAATAGCTGGCGACCATTACTGTTCAGTGAAAGAACATGTCGATATTTATAACGAACTGGTGAACTTCCCATATATAAATAAAATCCCAGGAATTGAACAAATGACCATACACGCTATATAAATTATGTGTAACTGCTATCTCTGTGAGTTGAGTCAAAAAATATATCGACCCGAGTCTGCATAGCCACTCCGGTGCTTCTTCTGCCATGTCCACGCGACCCTGAGGCTCTCCTGGAGTTCGGTGTGCTGGGCTGTCCAGTTTAGCTCGCGGTTGATCCTTGCGGGGTTGCTGTACACTTCGGCATAGTCACCGGGGCGGCGAGGGAAGTAGTCGACCTTGATGTCGACTCCGGTCGCCTTCTTGCAAGCCTCCACAAACTCCTTCACCGACCTACCTGGAAATGGAAAGATAAAAGAAAAAGATTAACATCACCATCATTCATAACATGATATGTGATGATGATCTATTTGATGGCTTACCTCTTCCGGTGCCAACATTGTATATGCCAACTTTGCCTCTCTCTGCCTTGTTGAGCGCTTTCACGTGGGCATCCACCAGGTCGGTGACATCGATGTAATCTCTTACGCAAGTCCCGTCGGCCGTTTCGTAGTCGGTACCTTTGACCTGTGAAGAAAAGCAAGAACTTGGTAAGCAGTTCCCAAAAGGAACGAAGAAAAACGCGAGTATTTTTTCACCGCTAGCGGCAGGGATTCCAAAACGCAGCAGCAGATAAGTAGTTGATAGAAGATGTTGGTACCTTCAAGCCTGGGATTATTCCTAGTGCCGCGTCGAAGCACGCACCGGATATACGGCCATGCTCACGCAATTCGGGTGGTGGAGCCTCACCCAGCCTTCCTTCTGGGTCAGAACCGATGACGTTGAAGTATCTAAAAGATTCAGGATACTCACTCAGTTACCAAATGGTGTTAGGTGTTATGGTGCTAGATAAGGAAGTTCACAGTTGTTAGTAAGAGATACCGACCTCAGGATCATCACCGACATGTCTGATTTCCTCGACTTGGAGAAGTCCAAAATGATATCCTCTGCCATTTTCTTGGCCTTGCCATATGGGTTTATAGGAAACTGGACAAAAGGTTCAGTGAACAACTTCAGGAAAAGAAACATTTTCAAAGTTTACATGCCATGAAAAATTCTCAAACTTTCGGAAAGAAGAGGCTGCAGTCTGCAGAGGCCACAACTGACCTGGGGAGTTTCTTCAGTGATAGGCATCTTCTCGGGTTCCCCGTAGGTGGCACATGTGCTAGAGTAGATCAGGGTTTTAACATTGTGCGTCGCCATGGCTTCTAGCACAACCAAAGTGTTTGCAGTGATGTTATGATAGTACCTGTTCAAAGTGTTTCATTATCTTGTGCAGGTAGGCTAGGTAGTTGGTGAATGGATAATGCAAGATGACAAGCAAAGTCTAGTACCTCAGAGGCTCAAGCGTGCTCTCTCCCACATACGCGACAGCAGCGAAGTGCATGACGGCATCAAATGCATTCTCTGCGAATATTCTGTTGACCTAAGGACATGTGTTAAGGAACAAAAATGTTCTAAAACAATTTCCTCGCCAGGTTAACATAATTATTTATCTTTTTCAAATGAGAAGCAATTAGTACAAAAGATAAATATGTCAGGATACAGCTTTTGGATCGCCTAAATCAGCATGTATGAATTGCAATCGCCCAGGATCAGGAAACAAGTTCTGAAGAACCTTGACCGCCCCGATATTTCCTCTTGAGAGATTATCCTAAAGACAAGAGAGAGAAAAAAATGTTAGCATTCTGATGATGCTGAATTTCGACAAAAAACAGCAATGCACAGTTCTGAGTAAAGTACCGACCACAATGGTGACTCTGAAGGAGTCTTTGAGCAATCGAAGAGCCGCATGCGATCCTATGTAGCCAGCGCCACCCGTCACCAACACATGTGTTACTCCGAGTTCATGGATGGAGAACTGGGCACATCAGCATCACATGTGTGAAGATTTACACACGAGGCACACTTGAGTGAAATCGAGAATCGTAATAAGCATCATAAGTATACACAACAAAGTAGCGTGCCATTTCTACTGCATTGCTTAGCAGAGTATGATTTGAGTCAGTTTGCAGCTGTGATAATTAACCGAGCAATGCAGCATCTGTGATTGCAACCCCATGAGATGCAAACGGACGGGATACCAAGTATATGTATGCATGGTTGAGGAGATGGAAGAAGGGTACGGGCGGTTAGCATACCACGCTGGGAGCCTTCCTATGGCAGGGCGGCTGGGTGAGCATGACGACGCACATGGCCGTGAGGAGCGCGACCATGATGATCTTGCTGAGGTACCTGGAGTTGCGCTTCGGATCAGAGAAGTCCATGTCTGCGAACGCCACAAGTTCAGTTAGATGCAACGTCGTTTACAGACACACACGCACACACACCAAGCCTCTGCAACCAAGCAGATGGCCATGGAAATACCACGACACAAAGCTAAGCTAATGCAGGAGAGAGGGGAAACAAGCAAGCACCCCTGGTAAATTCATCACCAAATTAACCGAGTCTGAGAAGACACGGAAATCAAGAACAAGCTTTGATATGATGGAGTGTGAAATTAAGCGGCGCACCTGAGAAGGACCAAGATCTGGGCGCGGGCCTGGGCTGAGGCCTGCTCCTGCCGGTGGGCAGCATCTGGCGGCGAGTCTCCTCGGCTCAGAGATAGCCGGTCAGATCCAACAACCCTGTTCCAGGCTGCTCCGCCTTTACAGCGGAACAGAGAAAGGATTGCAGGGGAGGAAGGAAGGCGGACACGAGAAAAAGTAATGAGCTTTGTGACCGGGGCAGGGGAGGGAAGGGGCGTACAGCCAATGGATGAACGAGTGAATCGTGGGAGTGGGAACGGAAAGGGAAAGGGAAATGTGGCGAGGATGCGGACGGCGGGCGGGCGGGTGGGTGGATCCATGGGATGGGATGGGAGGGCGCAGCAGGGAAAGCGAAGACGACAGGACGCGGAGAGTGATGAGGTGTCGTCGCGCTGCCGCGGCCGCCGCTGGGAGGAAAGATGGAAGGACCGTCAGAGAGAAAGAGAGGTGTCGTTTTCTGGCTACGCCAGTGACACGACGGATGTGGTACCACGTGCTCAAGTCGTTGCCTCGTCGGTGTCGGTCCAGTAAAGTCTCTATTTCCATGTTTAAATCTAGATAGAGGTTGCAGAGTTCACTGGAAGCAAATCTCCTTCAAATTTCTGGAAATGGGTACCTTTACCCCACTAATCTCAGTTGTTTATGTTAAAGGCTGGTGGTTAGCAACAGATCCGCACGACTCCCGCTACACTGATTTTTTCATCCCTAGCGATTCTCCCTGTATCGCAGCTTTTTTACGCAAAAAAATCAAAAGAACGCGCACCGAAGTCGAACACAAGACCTCGAGCGTCCATCCCCAGCTCAACAACCACCAGATCTAACCCCTCATTGCAATTAAGTCCTGCGTTTAGTATATATTTCACTACCATCTATAACGTCAGACAAGCTTCAAAAATATCTGACTCCTTATAGAATTTAAGTACATATTTGAAAGAGAAATTCGCCTCACAACTAAATTGAACGGTCGGACCAAATCAAATAATAAACTAACCAATTTTTGGACATTTGTTTATTATGTATAATAGTATAGGAACATGCTTTTCCAGTGTTTTTCTTGGATTTCTGTACTGGACAGTTTTCGCGAACGGATATATGGTGTCTCCATGACCCTCATGTTATACTAGTTATCTAGAACTTATCGGGGGGATGTTTCTACACTTATTTTAACTGAAACAAAAGTTATCGGGGTGTTTATATGTAAGTTATCAAATATGTGAGGTGTAAATTATTCTGCTATTTACACAAGAGTTATCGGGGTACATTTTTAATTAAAAAATCCCCGATTCAAAATTATCAGGGGGCTTGTGCATAAGTTATCAGGTCTGTAATGCGTTATAGGTCAAACCATTTGTTTACTATTGACCACCCCCCCCCCTCAAAAAAATATGATATCATCTTAGATTATCCTTATTTCAAAAGTTCAAAATGTTTTATAAATCAAACCATTTGTCCGAATGAAAATTTGCTTTCCAATAAAAACGTCCTGACAACACCTTCGAAACTAGATTCCATGTTGGATGACTTTTTTTGAGGGGGGGGGGAGTCAATAGTAACCACGACTGGGCTAAGTAAGTTATCGGCTGTGATGTGCACAAATTACCATTCTAATTAGGCAGAAGTTACCAGGTATATGTTTTTCAACACATTTTTTGTCCGGGTCAAAAAAGTTACCGTGATGTTGGTACGTGAGTTATCAGCTCTGTTGTGCGAATATTACCATGCTATTTATACAAAAAGTTATCGAGGTATGCTTAATTTTTTTTATTATTTTAAGGTCAAAAGTTACCGTGGTGTTCGTACATGAGTTATCGACTATGTTGTCATATATTATCATGCTACTTACATACAAGTTATCTGGATATGTTTTTCAGCAACATTTTTCCCATTTAAAAAGTAATCATGTGTGTTATGTGTGAGTTATCAGCTCTACTATGTGTATATTATCATGCTAATTACACACAAGTTATCGGGGTATGTTTTTCAAAACTTTAATCCCGTTCAAAATGTTACAGTGGTGTTTGTATATGAGTTATCAGCTATTATGTCTATATTACCATGATATTTACATAAAAATTACCGGGTATGTTTCAACAATTTTCATCTAGAGGTGAAAAGCTGTCATGCTATTTGCACATGAGTTATTAGATCAGATATGCGTATATTACCATGTTATTTACATCAAAATTATCGGGGTATATTTTTAAACAACTTTTATCACGAGGATGAAAAGTTACCGTGATGTTTGTACTTGAGTTATCAGCTCTGATGTGCGTATATTATCATATTATTTATAATGAAGTTACCGCGGTGTTTATACCTGAGTTATCAACTTTTATCCTGGTCATTTTTCACGGGCGGCCCACAAGCACGCATGCTTGGCACGTAATAGGCGCGGCCCGACACACGACTAAACGGGTCGTGCCTGCCTGTTGCACGCCGTGCGCCGCGCTTTTCCTTCGAGGTGAGGACCAACGTTTGTAGATAAGATCATGAAGGTAAAAAATGTCATATGTTACCGTATATTGCAACGACAAGGCCATGGGCGAATTACCATGCTTAAAGTTTAGGTGATTTACGTAACAGATGGAGGTTTACCTCAAGTTGCGTTGGCTTAGTTAGTTATTGGCTTTCCTAGCATCGTAGGGGATGTGGGTTCGAATCCCATTGCAGATTATTTTTTCTTCCACATAAACAACAGTAGCTCAATTTGTGGGCGGGTCCACCTTAAATGCAGCAGTGATTGACGTGCGGTCGGGCGGGAGAGAAAAATCGGATCTTAACTGCAGTACAGGTCAACGTGCGAGCAGGAGAGAAAATCGGGATCCAATCTGCGGGCGACCAGATTCGGTAGAAAAAAAGGAAGGGATGATGCGTGCAGGATGAGGATCTGACGGCGCGCGAGTCGTTCGGATCCGATGCAAAAATCCAGACGACTGGATTTTAGCTTTTCTGTATGTTAAAATATAATGTGAATTGGTACACTGGCCCCTCTAATCTTACTAGAAAATGAACCCACGTCCTTCTCTTTTCCTCCTCCACCACAAGAAAAGACCCCAGGTTTCCCTTCTCCTCCCGTCGGCGCCACTGCAGGTCTGCCTCATCTTTGATGGCCTTTGGGCCATGGAGGTGCGGAGGGTAAACCCGGGCAAACGTCGGGCCATGCCGGGTTTTGGGCCGGGCTTGTAAAAGCACGACCTTCATTTCTCAAGCCCGAGCCTGGCCCAAAGCCCGAAACACTTCCTGTTTTCAAGCCCGAGCTCGGCCAAAATCAAGCCCGAAAGCCCGACCCGAGTGCTGTTTTTTAGTACGCGCACGTGCAAGCCTGACCCGAAACTCGAAAGCCTGACCCAAAATTCAGAAAAATAGAATCCCGAGCCCGGCCCGAACTATCTTTTGGGCTGCAAAACAAAGTCCGAGCCTAGCTCGAATGTCAAGCCCGACCCGGCCCGGCTCGGGTTTTCGGGTTGGGTCGTCAAGACGGGCTATCCATGCCCGGGTTTAGCGGAGGGCATCGGCCTCCTGTCGGCGGGAGGGGCCCAGTTCTCATTCTTGTTAGATTCATCGTCTTGGTTGGGGTTGTGTGGCGGCGACGGTGTCCCTCAGTAGGAATGATGTCCAAATGGTGCATCTAGCTTCGTCGGAGGGCGTGTGGAGGTGTGTCTCCATCGGATCTCGTGGGATTCGGTCGGGGCTGGTCTTAAGTGGATCTTTTTGGGTCCGGTCTTCGTTCGTCTTTGTTTGTGTGTTTTATAGATTTGATCCTTCCGATCTATGACTTTCCTCATCAGCGGTAGTTGTTGCTCTGGTGCGCTGGTCCTATGAGGCCTTAGCATGACGACTTACTGATTGTCTACTACAACAAGGTTTAATCGACTCCGGCGGGGGAGGAGTGATGACGGTGGCGCGTCTTCGGTTCACTCCAGTGCTTGTAGTCGTTGCTAGGTAGTGCACAAACCTGGTTGTATTTTTTATTACCTCTGGTGTTCTTTGTACTGTCACGATTAAAGATGAATAGATTGAAAGTTTCTCGCAAAAAGAACAAAAAAAATAATGTGAATGAATTAACTATGTTAGGATTCTTGTTGATGATCTTGATATATATACAACCTAAGGAGACGTCATAAGGGACGACAATTACAATCAGAGAAGGAGAGGAGAGGATACGTCTATACAAGGAGACGCTTTTCTACAAAGAGGCACATATTCAGTGTATGGAGACACTCTAATGACAGTTGTTAATTAGCATGTTAATTTACAAATAACTAAAACTAATCCTAACGCTTCCCCTTGTACATCACCGTTTCTCAAAGTAGTCATTATTGAAGCTTCCTTGTGTATTATGAGTATCATTTGGTCTTGATCATAATTATATAGTAACTCCTTCAAAAGCCCTATGGAAAAAGTATGAGAAGAATAGTGTTTGATGTGTTGTTAAAACTCCCTTAAACCCTGCGGGGAAAATAAAAAGAAAATGATGCAACATATGTCCTTGAATCAACATAGCATGACGCTCTATGTTCTTCTTCTTCTTCTCTAATGAATTTCTTCCTTTTGATATCCTAACTGGTTTGAGAGAATCGCTCATAAGCATTCATGGCATAAATAGAAATAAAATGAACAGTAACAGTCGAGGCTGAGGGCCGCCGTGTCTTCGACGCCAGAGAGTGTTCCTACCATGGCCGTGCATCATGGGCTCGTCGGTGTCAGTCCAATGAAGTCTTTTTTCTACTTTTAAATCTACTAGAGGTTGTAGAATTCACCAAAAACAAACCCCACCTTCAATTTTCTGAAATTGGTACCTAACCCCTCTAATCTCAATTGTTTACGCCTTTGATGCGGTTTTAGAAGTGGATCTCATGACCTGGCAACAAGGAAACCGGGTTTGCCGACTAAGCTTGGATTGACGTTGCAACGTATCAAACAATTATGATATGAATCTGAAAGTGCTAGTTATCGACTAGAGGGGAAGGGGGTGAATAGGCGATTTTTATGAAAGTCTTCGAAACTCGCAATGTCTTCGAAGACAGACAAACAAGTAACACCTAAACA